TGTGGCAAGTGGGGGCTACTCTTCATTGCGGTGCGTGGGCTTCTCGTTGCGGTGGCTTCTCTTGTTGCGGAGCACAGACTCTAGGCGCGTGGGCTTCAGTAGTTGTGGCTTGCAGGCTCTAGAGTGCAGGCTCAGTAATTGTGGCTTGCAGGCTCTAGAGTGCAGGCTCAGTAGTTGTGGCTCATGGGCTTAGTTGCTCCGCAGCATGTGGGATCTTCCCAGACCAGGGCTCGAACCCGTGTCCCCTGCATTGTCATGCGGATTCTTAACCACTGGGCCACGAGGGAAGTCCCTGATAATGTGTTTTTGAAGCTACTTGCTATTCATCAGAACTGGTCTAAGTTTCCCTTTCTTTTGTTCCTCTGCCTCCCAACAAGAAGCAAGAGTTTATATTGCAATCTAATATGTATATTTCATTCATAAGGACACAGCTTTTTTTTAATAAATTTATTTATTTTTGGCTGTGTTGGGTGTTCGTTGCTGTGTGTGGGCTTTTTCTAGTTGTGGCGAGTGGGGGCTACTCTTTGTTGCAGTGCACAGGCTTCTTATCACGGTTGCTTCTCTTGCTGTTGAGCATGGGCTCTAGGTGCGCCGGCTTCAATAGTTGCAGCATGCAGGCTCAGTAGTTGTGGCTCACGGGCTCTAGAGCACAGGCTCAGTAGTTGTGGCGCATGGGCTTAGTTGCTCCGCGGCCTGTGGGATCTTCTCGGACCAGGGCTTGAACCCGTGTCCTCTGCATTGGCAGGCAGATTCTCAACCACTGCATCACCAGGGAAGCCCAGGACAGAGCTTTTTGATAAACAATATTGTGAGAGTTTACTTGATGAGAAATGGCCGACCTCTGTAAACATATGTTATGTTATGTGATCAAGTGCTTACCTGAAATCTTGAGGTGGTGCTTAATCTGCATGTGATTTTATCCCAGTTATTCTCTCACTATTGTTTTATAAAAACATAAAAAATTGGAACTTTGTTGTTGCTTCTGTGTGAAATTGTTTCTTAACCCAGGGTCATGAAGATTTACTCCTATATTTTCTTCTAAGAATCTTTGTCTTTTCAAAATATAAATATTTTTAATATCTTCTCTGGTAACTCAGACCACCCCACAGATTTCTAAAAATTCCTCTAGAGTGAGTAATATCCCCAGTTCAATGCTGTTGTATAGGGGATAATATATGGGAGTAGAATTTCAGTGTCATACAATATGCAGATAATATTGCATTGTTTTTGAAAGTGGGGACCATTTATTATCGCCTTCACTAGCAGTATGTGATCGCTCTACATTCTCTTGCCAACACCTGATACTGTTAAAATTTCAAATAAAAATTCTAACCGTTGTGGTAGATGTGAAGTATACTATTGTGTGTGTATTTATTTTAGTCAGATTATTGAGGTGTAACCTATATACAGGAAGAGTCATCCTTTTTGGAGTATAGTCATAAGAATTTTGTGAATTTTGGCAAATGCATAATCTTGTAACCATTGCCACAATCTAGATATAGAACATTTTCACCACCCCCAAATATAACATCATGCTCCTTGTAGTCAAACTTCCCTCCCAACCCCTTTCTCTCAACCCTGGCAACCACTGATCTGTCCTTCTAGTTTTGTGTTTTCCAGAGTATCATATAAATGGAATCACACATTGTATAGTGTCTGGCTTTTTTCACTTAGCATAATGCATTGGAAAGCCATTCATGTCATATGTATCTGTAGTGTGTTCTTCCTTACCAGTATTTCATCATACAGGTTGAAATCACATTTTATTTGTCTGTGCAGAAGTTGATGGACATTTGAATTGTTCTGTTTTTGATTGTTATGAATAAAGTTGTTATAAATAATGAGTATAGATTTTAGTGTAGGCTTTTTTTGTATTGGGAACATACCTAGGTGTGGGATTACATATAGTAAATGCGTTAAAAAAACAAGACTTTATTTTTTAGAGCAGTTTTAGACAAAATTAAGTGGAAAGTACAGAGAGTTCCTGTATACCCCCTGCCTTCACACATGTGCAGCCTCCCCCAATATCAACATCACTCACTAGAATGGGTACACTTGTTACAATTGATGAACCTACATTGACAAATCATTATCACCCAAAGTCCATAGTTTACATCAGAGTTCACTCTTGGCGTTGTACACACTATTGGTTTAGATAAATATATCATGACATGTAACTGCCACTATAGTATTATACAGAGTAGTTTTACTGCCCTAAAAATTCTCTTCACCTATTTATCCCTCCCTCCCTGCTAACCCTTGGCAACCATTGATCTTCTTACTCTCTCCATGGTTTTGCCTTTTCCAGATTGTCATATAGTTGGAATCATACACTGTGTGGCATTTTCATATTGGCTTTGTTCATTTAGTAATATGCATTTAAATATCTTCCATGTCCTTTTGTGGCTTGATAGCTCATTTTTTAAAAATCACTGGATAATATTCCAGTGTCTGGATGTACCACAGTTTTATTTATCTGTTTACCTATTGAAGGTCATCTTCGTTTCTTCTAAGTTTAAGCACTTATGAATAAAGCTGCTATAAACATCCATGTGCAGGTTTTTATGTGGACATAAGTGTTCAACTCATTTGAGTAAGTACCAAAGAGTGAGTCTGATGGATCTTGTGGTAAAAGTACATTTAGTTTTGTAAGAAATTGCCAAACCGTCTTCCAAAGTGGCTGTACCATTTTGGATTCCCATCAGCAATGAAAGTTCCTGTTGCTCCACATCCTCATCAGCATGTGGTGTTGTCAGTGTTTTGGATAGTGGCTATTCTAGTAGGTGTGCAGTGGTATCTCATTGTTTTAATTTGTAGTTCCTGAATCACATATGATGTTGAGCATCTTTTCACATGCTTATTTGCCAACTGTATATCTTCTTTGGAGAGGTATCTGTTCAGGTCTCTGCCCATTTGTTAATTGAGAACAAACTTGTAGTTACCAGTAGGGAGAGGGGAGGGGGGAAGGGCAATATAGGGGTAGGGGATTAAGAGGTACAAAGTATTAGGTATAAAATAAGGTACAAGGATATATTGTACAACACTGGGAGTATAGGCAATATTTTATAATTATAAATGGAGTATAACCTTAAAAATTTATTCTTATATGGAGTGTGCTTAAGAAATCTTTGTCTAGCCACAAGATCATAAAAATGGTCTCTTGTTGTCCTTGTATAAGTTTTACACTTTTAGATATATTTTGAGGTAATTTTGTTTATAGTGCAAGGTATAGGTTGAGGTTCTTTTTTTCTTTTTGTATATGTATGTCTGATTGTTTCAGCACCATTTGTTGAAAGACTATCAATTCTCCATTGAAGTGCTTTTGTACCTTTGTCAAAAATCAATTGTTCGTTTATGTGTGGGTTAATTTCTGGATTTTACAATCTATTTCATTGATCTCTGTGTCTGTTCTTTAGCCAGTATTACACTCTCAATTATGGTAGGTTTATATTAAGTCTTAAAATCAGGTAGTGTGGGTCATTCAAATTTTTTCTTTCTTCAAAATTGTTTTGACTATTATAGTAGTCATTTGTCTTTCCTTTTAAATTTTAGAACTTGTTAATACCCTACCAAAAATTTCTCTGGGATTTTGATTGGGATTGAATTGAATCTATAGATCATTTTAGGGATAATTGATATCTTAACAGTGCTAAGTTTTATAATTCGTGAAGATGGTAAACCTCTTCATTTATTTAGGTCTTCCTGCATTTCTTCTTTTCTGTCCTCTTCAGGGGCTGTTAGTTTTCTGGTTTTCCCTGTGAATATGGGACTGGTTTTCAAGTTTAACATAGGGCTGTGGAGAGGGAGATGGGATAGGGCAAGTTAAGAGGGTTCTGACTGAGATTCAGATTTCTTGAATAAATACTCTTTGGAATATTTCAAGTCTTTAGTTTGCTTCTAGAGTTCTAAAAAAGTTGATATTGACAGTGTTTGCCAGTGTTATTATTGATTTTACTGCGGATAGGGTTTTTTTGGCAGTCCTTACTCTGCCATACCTGCTGATGTCATTCTTTATCCTGTTTAAGATATGGTAAAGTGTCACATTGGTAAGGTTATCACTTACCAAAAATAAAGATATTGAGACTCTCAAGTGTAAATTGAGTTATTCAAATTTATGATCTCATGTGTTGTACTAAACAGAAGTAAGGGTATTATTTTATTGTTTGTTATGATTTCAGGGGAGAAAAAGTTGATTGTTTTCCTCATGGCTTTGTTGTGGGACTTAAAGGTTAATACATGGAACAACTCAATTTCAGAACATGGAATTAAGGATAGTAAGCTCTCAGTTAATATTAGCTATCATCAACAATCTCCTCTTTCTTTTTTCTTCATATTCCTCCTTTAAATATAACTCTTAGCTTCCTCTTCTACTCATTGGAGTTGTTTCCCCTTAAACCCAAGTAGAGAAACTATAGCAACCCTCTGAAAATAATAGATTGGATTTAAGAAAAGTTGGTAAAAAAATTTCCTTTCTCTGAAAATTGTTTCTATTGTGTAATTTTAACTTTCATTGTTATTGCTGTTTATGAATGGTGAGAGGGAATAAATGAAGCACTGATGTCAACTTCAGCAACTGGAAAGCCAAGAAATGAGGGTGGTGTAGTTTAGTGCATGGGAGAGTCAGTGAGACCAGGAAATAGAAAGTCTGGGCTGTACTCCCTATTTGCCACCAAAAAAGCTATATGATTTTGGCATTTTCCTAACCCCTAACGGTTTCCTCTGGGAATTTTCAAGGAGTTGAATATATGTCCTCTGAAATCTTTTCTAATTTTTTTTTTTGTCTTATTCAGTTGAAAGGGATTTTGTACTTTTTGATGAAAATTGGGAATGTTGTATTTATTGTAAGATTATTTCTTTTGGAGTAAACTACACTTAATAAAGGCATAAAGTGCCTAAAACTTACTAGAAAGTTTTGCATTAATTAATTATCCTAAAAATAATGTCTCTTACAGAAAGTGACAACAATATGATTTTAATATCTTTTGTATGCTTTGTTTTAGGTTGGTATAGAGGAGTTTCAACAAAGAAGCCAAATGTAAAGGTAATGAAAAGTTTATTGTTACCTTTTCTAATGTAGAAAGCAGCCTAAGTATATTTGTTTGATATAAAAACAATTCTTACTTGTCGGTCTTTGAATCTTTTACACTAACCACACTCATTCTTTCCTTTATAGAACTGTATCAGACTCTACTCTGTCTCAGCAGTATTAAAATGACCTTTTAAAAAGGACAGAAAAGTGTGTGTATGGTAATAGATGCGAAACTTATTTTGAAAAAGCCTATTTAGGACATTTAATATTTTTTCCTTAAAACAGTTGACAAAAGTACATTGACTTTTTCATAGGCCTAGTCCTGTATAGTCATGTGATTAGTTAGATAAGTTTATTTCTAAAATGGAAAAAACTTTAAAAATAATGTTCAGTTAGATACATCTCTGTTGATCATAATGTTCTTGTTAAAATATGAATTTAAATAAGACTTTTAAGTGCCAAATGCTTATTTTATGGACTAGATTTATGTGTTTATTCTATTACCAATTAATAGTAATTTGATCAAACAAAATATATTTTAATTGGTAGTTGTAATACATGTAGCAACATTTTTTTCCAGTAATGCATTTGCAAAAACTTCTTTCTGCTTTATTTTATATTATCAGTTTTTCTTATATATTTTTTGTAGGCTTAATATTTAGTGTATTATGCTTTTTCTTATGTAGAAAATACCAAAATTATCACATTACTTTTATTAAAAAATAAAAATTTTCAGAGTTGCAATCATCAATTTTGCCAGTAGAATCACTTGTCATTAGTTTTTAAGGTAGTGATCATAAGAAGACAATATCTTCATACTTTCATTCCTCATAGCTAGGGCTTCTTATCCTTGGCAATGTTGACATTTTGGGCCAGATAATTCTTTGTTATCTTGTACATTATAAGAAATTTAGCAGCGTATATGACCTCCACTCACTAACATCTCCTCTCAAGTTGTGGCAGTGAAAAATGTCTCCAGACATTGCCAAAGGCCCTGGCCCTGGGGAGTGGGAGGTAGGTGGGGTGGTGGTGGTAACATTGACCCAGTTAAGAACCACTGCTCGTAGGTAATTTTTTACCTTGTGTCTCTAGTTTTAAGACACACTTTCAGGTGTTATTTCCATCTCAGGAAGGCTCATGTGGAAATAACTTCTATTTGTATTTTATGTTTGTTACCTTGATTTGAAATTGTCAAAAATTTAGAACTTGAATAAATGAGAAATCTTATAAATGATTGGAAAGCTGTAATTTGTGATATTACGTGCTATTTATTTATTTTTATTAATATTTGTGATCTTAGCCACCCCACCACCTTGCTTCAAATACTAGGGTTTGGGGATCAGTGTGGAGACAGTGGTCTTTGAAATTATTTTATTTTTGTCTTTAAAATATCAGTTGATGCACAGTGTGTGGCTTGAAAACCTTGTTAAGTGGGACATTAATGATGATACCCTTACAATATTATCTATTGCTGTGTGGCAAAGCATCCCAAAATATAGTGGACTAAAGCTAATCATCATTCTGTATAGGTGACACCACTTGTGGCTACAGTTATCTGTGGGCTCAGCTGGCTGGAATGTCCAAAAGGGTTTACTCACACATGTGGTATGTTGGCAGGGATGGCTGGAAGGCTGTCCTCAGCTGGATCACCAAAATAGCTACATGTTGTAACCTCAAGGTCTCTATCTTTCCATGTGGCTTCTCCAGCAGATTAATCAGAGTTCTATTTTAGAGTTAAGGAGAAGTGCTCAGAATCTCATACCTATTTTCCAAATTCTTTTTCCTGCAACAAAGGTGTTTAGCGCCTGTGGGAGAGGCCATTTTGTGATTAATCTTAGCAATGATTTGATAAACTAATCAAAATGAGGGAACCAGATGACACTAATCTAAAGTGTTAGAGGGAATTCCCTGGCGGTCCAGTGGTTACAACTTGGTGCTGTCACTGCGGTGGCCCGGGTTTAAACCCTGGTTGGGTAACTAAGATCCCACAAGCCGAGTGGCGCAACCAAAAAATAAAAAGAAAAAAAGAAAAGAAATGTTAGAGCTCATTTTGTCTGATCAGACTCCTTTAACTTTTTTAGTTTAGGCTAATGTAGTACTTTTGAGGTTGTGTATTTTGGTAATACCAACTCCATTCTAGAATCTTAGATTACTGTAGCATTTATTAGCGACATGTATATATATACCTCGTGATAGCTAGTATTTATATTCTTAAACTTAAAAAAATTAACAGATGGAAATACAGTATTAACTAAATTTCACCCTGTGGCAGTGGTATTTTATGGAACTATGTTGAAAATTCTTTCATGTTTGTAAAAGATAATCATTTAGTGATTTTACACACATAGAATGATTAAAAAATGCATCCCTATATATCTTTTATTTATCTTAATATTATGATCATAATAATTAGAAATTTCAATAGGTTTTTCATAGCTATTAGTGGCTAAAGAAAAATGAAAAAGTTTACTTATTAAACTATGTCTTTAGTTATGTACAATTTATACTAATAATAAAACTTGAAATAGCCCAAATAAAATAGTGTCTGAACTAGATAGCATTCAGAAATAATTAGTAAATGGTAAAGCATTTCTTTGTATAAAAAGTTTTACTATAAAATGCCCTTTCAGTTATATATTTTTGTGACCATATATTAAAATTGTACAGTTTAAGAGAAATATAATATGCAGGTAATATGTAATACTAAATTTTGTGAATTAAAAAGTAGGAGAATAAGATAAAATTAAGGAAAAGGAGAACATATATTTGATGATAATTTTGTGCATTTTATAAAGCATATGCCCAAGAGAAAAGGAATGAAATTCAAGAGAATTTATATTTACTTTCATTTTGTGGTTTCAGGATCAGTTCTTATACAGGAATTGTCAACTGGATACCTAGAATTCTGCCAGATAGGAACAGGACATTATTGAATGTTTTACACAGCAAAAACAGAGGTATAGAGGTGTGAAATTGCAAGGCATGTTCAGGGAATGGTAAATAGTCCAAACTGGCTAGGGCATAGTGCCTGGATGAAAGTGATGGATGGTAAGGCAGGAAAGGTACATCGGATCCATATTTACAGAGTCTTACATACCAAAGACTGTAAGGAATCCTAAGGAATTTGGATTATGTCTCTTTGGCAACAGGCGTGTAACAGAGGCACAGATTCACTCGTGCCATACAGTATAACCATGAAATAGAGTTTATTGGAGAAATAGTAAGCACCTGTTAAAGATACATATTTAAGTACTTATGGGTAATTTCTGAAATTTGCTCTAAAGTATGGCAGTGGGTAAGAATATGTACGTGGGTATTAATTAATCAAGGTTGGCAAAACATTGATCATTGTTGAAGCTGGGTGGTAGGTTCGTGGAGGTTCAATATACTATTCTCTCTTAATTTTGTATGTAATTTGAAATGAGTGTAACATTACTTATCTTGTAGAATTGTTAGAAATCAATGAGCTTATATGAAGCTCTTAACACAGCGCCTAGCATATGGTAACAGTACAGTAAATATTTGTTTCTGTTGCTATAACAACAACTGCTATGATAGCATAGGGCTGGAAATGAGACTTTAAAGACTGCCAGCGTCTTGGAGGACAGAAAAAGAGGTACTAGCACATGGAGTTTGAGAACTGGAGGTCATAGCTGGCTAAGGAAAAGAAAGTTTTTAAAAAACAGAGTAATTAATGATTTCAAGTACTGTAGAGTAGTCTAGTAGAATAGAATGGGTACTGAGTAGGGGCCATTGTGTTTGACAGAAGGCCATTGGTGATGTTTTAGAGAATCCCATGTAGTCATAGGATGATAGTGGCAGAAAGCCAGAGTCTAGTGGGTTGAGTGATAGAGAGAAGGTAGAGTAGTTACCACAGTAGGTTATGGGTGAAAGGAAGGAAGTAGATGTAGATTCTTGGGAATATAAATAAGGCTGTAGTGGTGATTTTGTGAGTGGAGGACTGATGAACATTTCAAATTTGATTTAGGTAAAATTCTGGAAAATGCTAGTAATTTATAATGCCTTAAACCAGTTACATGGTTGCCTGCCAATCTATCCCTGAAGAGAGGGATAGATTACAAAAAGATATGAGGAAACTTTGGGGGGGTGATTCAAATGTCATTATTTTAATTGTGCCATGGTTTCACTGGTGTGTGTATATGCCAAAGCATCAAATTCTACACTTTAAATATGTGTAGTTTGTGGTACATTATCATTTCAGTCTCTCAACTTACTTTGTAGCTGTGATGGTTCATTTTAATACAGACTTGGTCATACACCAAGTCATAATGAGACCTAATCTAATGATTTTTTTTTAATGAAGGAAAGTGCTAATTATCATCAGTAGGAGCTCTCCTAACTGAAAACTTAAAAAAAAATTGACATTTTATCATGGTTATTCTGTACTGAAATGTGGGTTTGTGATCTGGAATTTACCTAATAGCTACATTTTAAGTGTTCTCCATTAATGGATCTTATTATTAGTGTTTATGTTGTTGTCAGTGGGGGAGAAGATGGTGGGAGTTGAAGGAAGTGAAGGCTAGGTGATATTTTGTGTCATGCTTATTTGTTGTTGTGTTTGGAGGCCCTCAAGACCCAAAGACTTGAAGATTTGCTCTGGGGACCCAAAGGACTCATTATGTAATTGTACTCACAGCTGTGAATAATTACCGTGGAAGGATACAAATCAAAATAGCAAAGGTGCATGGGGTAAAGTCTGGGGAAACCAGGCACAAGCTTCTAAGAGTCCTTTCTCAGTGGAGTCATACAGGAGAAGCTTAATTCCCCCAGGAGTATTGTGACAACACATATGAAATGTTGCCAACCAGGCAAGCTTGCTTGAGACTCATAGCCAGAGTTTTTATCAGGCACTGGTCCTGTATGCAACCTCTGTGTAGCGTGTAACAAAATTCCACATTCCTGGAAGGAAAGCAGGCATTCAGCAGCATAAACCATGTTGTTTGTAGAAATAGTTGAGGCACAGTGAGTACTTCTTATCAGTTAATGGTGGG